AATTAAAACATGCACAATAGGTCTGAATGTAATGAGTGAGTGAATGGATGGTGTTGATTGTGGGCTTTGATGCTCCAGTGTGTTCACAGTGTGGAGGAATGGAAATTATCTGAACCTCTGACATTGTAAGCGCTTTATGGGGCCGTGGTCTGTAAATGCCCTATATAAATGAAGAGTAAATATAATGATTTGATTTAAATTGCTTGAATGCAACTTGAACTCGTTTGTACTTTTTGTTGCGAAGGATAATCAAAAGCAGACGGACTGTTGGTCTGAGGAGGCAGTTCTCTTTGTGTGTGACTGGGTTTACAGGGTGGAACTGCCGCTTTGAGCTTGATTACGAGAGGCTTGTTCAAACATATAATTGAATCAGGACAATCATGTCCTCTGTGGACTGGGCTTCTATACCCTGACAATGTTCAAAATCCAGGTTCAAAATCCAGCAACATAATTAGTAACATCTGCAGCTTTTTTGCATCTAAAAACATGGCCAGAATTAAAATGTAGTGTCTAAAGCAAACTAGATAGCGTTAGACTACTGTATAGGTGGTCTCTGACATAACGTGAGTGAAAAAATGCTGCATTACATTCAAACGCTGAGCTCGAGTCCTGACTAGAACCAGAAAGTAGATGAACATTAGGTCCAGTCCTCAGGTCTCTGCACTGGCTTCCTGTGGCTCATAGAATAGACTTTAAATATTTTTTGTTTGTTCAGGAAGATTTCATCTTGTCTTCTTTGTAGAATTTAAAAGTATCGGGTTCTTTTTTAACCAGACAAAATAAGGTTTGTCTGGGTAATAACATCCACAAACCTTATATTTGTCTGGTTAGAAGAACCCAAACTTTTTAGGACTATAAATCTGCTCAGCTTGTGCACAAGTTTCTCTGTTATGCCCAAAGTACATCTGTGCCATGTTGGCGCACATGAACCAACTCTGACTTGGGAGGCACATGGATGGCCTCCTGCGGGTGCCCAGAGTCTAAATTATAAACCAGGGACAGGGATTTCAACAAATATTCAATTTCCAAGTTAAAAAAACAGATCGGTTTTAGCTGCGCATACAACTTAGCACTAATTGTGCATGTAACTTGTAATTATTCATTTTAATCTTTGTAAATGTCTTGTTTTGTTAAGGAACTTTGAGTTGCATGTATACAGACATACAGATGCACGCGCACACACACACAAACATACACACACACACACACACACACAGGCACATGTAAAGTCACAACATAAAGGTAAAATAGGTAGAACTATGGAAAGATATAGGGCTGAGTGCAGATGTAACCGGCTGAAGAAGCGCCATCCAAGGAGCCATCTGCACCAGGAGCAGAGAGCCAGGTGCAGCCGCGGGGAACGACACAGGACCCAGAGGAAAGAGGGGGCCCCAGACCCCACCAGGTCCAGGAGTCAGACCCCCGCAGCCACAGCAGACCCCAGCCCCCCGTGCAGAGGGCTCCTCCAGAGGAAACACTGGGGATTCTAAAATAATACAATACAACATTAAAATGCGACAGTAGCTCAGTTGGTAGAGCATTGGCCTTAAAGCAGCAGTAAGCGATTTTTGGGTGTTAATATACGTCTTAAATATTGATATATTCCAATAGCCATCACTTATATAGAGTGTTTGTACCTAAACACGGATCTCTCAGTCCTTCCAGTCTTCTCCCACCTATATAATAAAAAAACCTCACATCCTATGCGCTTATCCAATGACGAGAGAGCACGCCTTATAAGAGGTTTCTCCCGTGTGTGCACGCGCACTCTTCAAAACAAACATGGCGGAGAAGGAAAAGCCGCCTCCAGCGCTGCTGCAGACTAAATACCATGGATTTATTAAATACAGGCAAAACGCCAGAAACAGAGGAACGACAAAAAGTAGGAGCAACATGGTGACCAGCTGCATTCATGTTGGCGACCTCTAGCTCCGTGGATTCCTCTCTCCGACTGAACAGGTGAGCATGTTACTCAGTAGTGGCAGTAGTAGTTGTGTTATTTATACATATTGTTGCCTGAGACTGTAATGCGGGTTTTCACCAAGTTAGCTAGTTAAAAATACCCAGCTGTTGTAGAAATACGGCCGCATTTTGTGGCAATAACTGCGCATTACCTTGGCTTAGCTTTGAGAAACAACAACAGACAACACAACATCGAAGCCTTAGCCCAGCCTTAGTCATCCATAAACTCCGGTCAATTATTAGTTCCCCACATGTACAAAATTAAATGACCATATCACCAGAGTTCCCCCGTGAAGTGGTGTTAGCATTAGCGTTAGCTGTTAGCATTAGCGTTAGCTGTTAGCATTAGCGTTAGCTGTTAGCATTAGCGTTAGCTGTTAGCATTAGCGTTAGCTGTTAGCATTAGCTGTCTGTAGTTGTGAATATGATGTGGCTGCTACGAACACTTCTGATCTGTATGAATCGTTTGTTTTTGCCAATAAACATAGTTGCTTGCACTATATATATATATGTAGGTCTGCATTTCATTCTTCAATGACTAAGTTTTTCAACTTGCACTCTGTATATTAGTTTTATTGTTATAAAAACAATATCTCTTTACCTCAAATCTAACTTCCGTGACCACTACATACATTTTTATTATTATGTATTGAGAATAAGTAAGAAAAGTCTTGCTGACTACTACCAAATAAATTATGAGCATGATATAATATAGACATTGTAATAATTTACATGTCTTCATTGCATTCTTTTCTCTGTATCTTTTCCAGTATGGCCTAAATCAATTGGAATGAGGTCTTCAATGTACAAGAGTTCAAAAGCCTCCATAATGCAAGTTAAATAACTATAAAAAAAAAAACAATGCCATAACGACTAGATACTTTTCTGCTGACCTCTTCTTTCTCTAGTATTGACTGGGAAGACAAGACTTTGCTTCCAGAATTAGAAGATCGGCCATTGTCATCTCCTGAGGAAGACTTTACACCCCACATTTGTCATGTAGGTTGTTGTGAATGTATTAATGGGACGCAGTGATTATGATAATGATGTTGTGATGTGTGTGTCATTCATCCCTACAGTTGTGTTGCTGCCCTGAGGTCCAAAATGAATATCCATCATGTTCCAGGAGTCAGTGTTGACAAAACTGTCGCTGAGTTTCTTCAACAATCAAGAGGAGTGAGATAATCACTCGACTCCCAAAACAGCCGATGTAAGTGTCTTTCTCTCACAATGCACAGTCTCTCACAGTCCAAATAAACATGTTCAAGGATCCTGTGGATCAGGGGCCACTCCTGGTGATCAATAAATACTGATGTTGTTGATGATGAATATATCAAAGTCATATTTGAGTAGATAAAACTGATGTCTCTTCTATTATGTTTCAAAGGAAAATCTCTGCCAGAGGAAGACTCCAGTTCCTTCAACCTGGGCCCCTGAAGCGTGGCTGTGTGTGTGCGTGTGACTGTGTGTGCGTGTGGCTGTGTGTGCGTGGCTGCTTATGAATTATTTTGAGGAAATGTGTTCAAACAAGCTACATCATAAAGATTAACATTTTGTTAGATATCTCTGATAGTGTTCGCTGCAGCAGCGATGGATAAGGACCTGGATAATAACAGTGTTATTCATTTGAGCAAAAAGTGATAACACAAACGTTGCCTTACCATCACTTGTAATTATTCGTCTTAGTAGGGACATTGTGTATATTTTTCTGGCTATAACTTCAAATCTTCTTTTACATAATAAAGTTTCTTAGACTCGTTACAGACTGTATTTGTTTTCCTACTATAAAACAAAGCACATTGAAAGAGGTGAATGTATTTTTTTTTATTTTGAAATAGTACAACTACAAACATATTTCAGAACTGCAGAGTGGACGTGCACCATGGGGGCCGCTGAGGACGTGCACCATGGGGGCCACTGAGGACGTGCACCATGGGGGCCGCTGAGGAAAGCACGTTTTCAATGTCTGTTGGCACCTTTCACAGACGCACCAGGTCTGGGAGGATCTGGTCATCAGCTTCTCTGGACAGAGGGCGTTCAGTGCTTCCTGAAAGAACCGTTATGACAAATGACTTTATATATTCTGTTACTTGTAGCTTTTCCTTCAAAGTGGTGAGTTTCCTTACAGTGTAATAGTGTAACGTAATTAGTTATGACAGTACTTTTGCGTTTCGGACAAGCTTTACTGGAATTGTTTTTCAGTCCCACATCTCACTGTACAGCTCTGATACACTTTGATTTTGTCTTCATTCTCTGAACAATAAGCACATAATACAGATGTTGATTACATCAATAAATGTATCTTTATTTTGTGACATTGAGAAGGCAGCTTCCAGTGAGATGCAGCTTTACTTTCACATAATACATTACTACAGTGTTGTCTATAAAGAACTCCAAATATACAAATTGTGAGGAAATCAGTAATGTATTACTTTAAATAACCTTCATGTAAAGCTTTGTTGTTGTAATGTATATGCATTACATTCATCTAATACATATGCACTGTAACAGATGTTACAGTGCATAATGTTGAGACACGTCACACTGCAATCTGCAACATTATGTTTATCACAACAGTTATCAGTGTGCCAACTATAAAAGCAGTATTATTCTATAAAAGACTGGATTGTTTTTATCTTTCTTAGTGATGCTATCCTAGCTAACACCAAGCTGCTTCCAGTGTTATAGCTAGGTTACAACTGAGCTATTCTATGCTAATATTTCACTCCCAGAGTTTGTTGTTAATATACTTACGAGTAGACCTGACGGAGATGAACGTGCTGCTGCCATCACCAACACGATGCGCGTTCATGTGGTGTGACGAGGGGACGGGGGCGGGGCTACTAACTCGCTCAGGCAGAAGAAACTGCCGGAAACGACCAAATCGCTTACTGCTGCTTTAAGGCCAGAAGGTCGTGGGTTCAATCCCCACCTCTGCACCTTCTCCATCGACTCCCACTGAAGACTGCTGTCGTTGTGTCCTTGGGCAAGACACTTAACCCCACTTTGCCCAAAGCCCCCCCTGAAAAATCAAGGCTATGCTCTCACTCAGAGAGCAGCCGTCCTCCTGTGGACTCACCACCTGCAGAGGGTCAGTGAGGGGCTGGTGCTATGAGACTTGGGTGGCATCTCTGACTGCCACCCCCCTGACCCAGAAATGGATTAAAGGGTAGAAAATGGATGGATGGACAACATTAAAATGTGAGACTAAAAAGAAAATGGCATCAGTGTGTCTTGAGCCTGCCTTTAAAAATATGAACGTTCTCTGCGGCCCTGAGCTCCTCCGGCAGACTGTTCCAGAGACGGGGGCCGTAGTGCTGGAAAGATGCCTCACCGTGCGTGTGTGTCCTGACTTTGGGGATGGTTAGGAGTCTGCTGCCGGAGGAGCGCAGGGGCCGGGAAGGTTCATAGGATAAAAGCAATTCTGAAAGATAAGAAGGCCCAAGACCATTAAGACATTTAAAAACCATTAAAAGAACCTTAAAATCGATCCTGAAACACACGGAGAGCCAATGCAGCGATTTTAAAACCGGTGTAATGTGGTCCCGCCCCCTGGTCTTAGTCAGGACACGTGCGGCCGAGTTTTGGAGTAATTGAAAACTTGAAATATTCTTTTTGGGAAGACCAGAGAGCAGGGCATTACAGTAGTCAATGCGACTGGTGATAAAAGCATGCATCAGCGTCTCCGTGTTGCCCCGAGAGAGAATGGGGCGGACTCTGGCGATGTTCTTTAAATGATAAAAACCTATTTTTGTGATGTTCTTGATGTGAGGAATAAGGGTCAGCTCAGAGTCAAAGATTACGCCCAGGTTTCTCACTTGTGGTGATGGATTAAAAGAATGTGATTGGAGTTTTGGTAAAAGTTTCTCTCTCTGGGCCTCAGGACCGATGACTAAAACCTCAGTTTTGTCCTGGTTAAGCTGGAGAAAGTTTTCTGCCATCCAGGATTTCAAGTCGAAAATGCAGTTAAAAAGAGCATCCATTGGCCTGGTGTCATCAGGAGACATGGAGATGTACAGCTGAGTGTCATCTGCATAACAACAACAAAGACAAGTACCTGCAAAGAGGTTTGCATTTATGGCAACTCCACGTAAACGACAGTGGATGGACACACACTTGACGTGCACATTTTTACCTTTAACCTCAGTGAGTTTGAAATAATGCTGTCATTGGAATGTTTAAGTTATCGTTTTAATGTAGTATTATGAATTTCAAGTAATTTGTGGCAAAAATATATTGAATTGAAATTCACTGATGGTTAAAGCCATGTCTTCTGGACAACAGGGGTTGTACGCAGATGAGACCAGGCTAGGCCTGGTAAGAAGGCCACTGTTTCTTTTGCGGCTTTTCCACAGTAGCACTGCACGGCCGAGTTCGGGTGCATTTCCATCAAAAATAGCACCACCACGTCATTTATGCGCGACTCGTAACTAGTAACATCGGTACGGTGCATGGATTTATTATGATATCGGTGAGAGCTGGTTATTACCTCCTAGGGGACTCTGCTTACCCCCTGCAGAACTGGCTCCTAAAACCTTTTTATGAAACAGAGTGACAGACTAACAGAAAGTATTTATTAGAAAATCCAGCACAGCGCGAGTGGTTTTTGAAAATGCTTTCAGCAGTCTTAAAGGAATGACTCGGACACTATTCGGTAATTTGTAATAATCACAGAGGACGTCTGAGATCTTAGTCCCGTGCGAATGCGCCCTGTCTGTAATTTGTAATGTAATTATTCAGCCGCAAATAACCTCCCGTATATGTCCAAACACAGACGTGCTCTGATAATTCTAATCCCCGTGCGAATCTGCATGTCAGTGATTGTGATCGCTACTGCCGCTTTCGCTTTACTTTCTGCGCTGTCAATAATCAATGAGCTTAAATCCACATTTAAGTGTTTGTCTTCATGGTCTCTGTGGCCAGTATGGGCTGCGTGAAGCGGAGAGACCCGTGCACGTTCGGCCGTTATGTCAGATGTCAGTGAAAATTGCAGACATTGCTTATCCCGTGTGAATGCACTGCAAGATCGAAACAGGACGTTACACGCACAGGTCCATTCTCTGCTTGTTGTGTGTGTGTCTTTGCGTAACCTGTGCACGCAATAAATACTCCACCACAAGAAACAGAGCTGGATTATGGAGCCTCAGGAAGTGTCTGTGTCCATAGATAGATGAATGGATGGATGAATGGATAGATAGAAGCAGATACACATCCATCTCGTACAATAATCTTTTTTATTTTCTTTTTTGATCCTCACAATTTGTTTAATGAAGTCGTGGGCCGGATCGAACGGCTCGGCGGGCTGGATTTTGAAGTTGAAGATCAGTGTTCTAAAGATTCTATTGGAGCTTGAGTAAAACAGCAATCATACTGGGTAAAGACAAAGCTAACTTTGTAGATGCATAAACTCAAGTTCTCTGCTCGCATCAACATCTCTCTGGCCAGACGTGAAAATCATCTCAGAGGGGCCTTTATATTAAGAAACTGTTTGGATCTATCACTTGTTTTAACGTGTGAATTTTTGGCCTCTGTTACATCCTTAGATCAACTTTTTGAGAAGACAAGACTAGTCTTCACTCAGCCAATCAACTCTCACATTTCAATAAGAGTTCACAGTTCACAAAATGTCACTCAAACAAGAATCTTTCTATTTGGGACAAACGAAATGATAAAGATTTGGTACCCCAGCTATAACTGAAACACGCTTTTAATACGTTTAGATTAAGTGTTAAACTGCAATTACAGCAGTCCTTTACAAAAAATACAGTCATTATTTGAGATTCTTCCAGTTTTCCAGTATTCTAGTTGTTAATTCACTTCATGTATTTTTGTATAGCCCTAAATCACAACAGTAGTTATCTCTGAGGATTCGCCAACACAGATCAGAGAATCAAATGTTTCAAACACAAGAAATGTAATGATAATGTGATTTGAGATCGTAAAATTACGTTATTTTGACACAGTGCTTTTGGTGCAGGTTTGGGAGGAGACTTTCTTTCCTGGTGTGTAACCTCCTCAGTCTGATCTCCAGTGCGGCCATCGCTCTGACCCCTCAGTTCCTGATTGTCCTCCTGCTGAGGGTCATTCTGGGGCTGGGGACTAAAGGCAGCTGGATGACCGGCTACATCCTGTGTGAGAAGTACTGTTAACTGTATGGGTGGGAAAATATATACAGTATCCATATATAATATATATATCTAATTTTAATGACAATGATTATGAACTCTATAATTATATATTCATTATTTTGGTCCACTTTGACCATTTAAATATCCATGTGGTCCTCAAAGTTAAAGCTGAGAGGTTGCGAGGGAGTCAGAATATTGTAAAATCCTTCCTAACTCTTATGTGTATTATATACTTTTAGTGTTCGTGTTAGCATTAGGCTGTGATGTACTGTATGTGTTGAAAGGTACATACAAAGATCACAGTTGACAATAATTAAGTTGGTCGACAATAAACCAACTTTTTTCCTCCTCACAGTGACGGAGATGGTGGGTTTGGAGCAGAGGCGCCTGGTGGGCATCCTGTACCAGATGGTGATCAGCTTGGGCATTGTTGCTATGGTGATGCTTGCCTACTTCCTCCCAGACTGGCGCTGGATTCAGGCCGTCTGCGCGGCTCCGTACGCCCTCTTCCTCTTCTACTACTGGTGAGACCCCTCTCTGTTTGAACTCGTCCATGCTGGGCGGCACAGCGGCGCAGTGGTTAGAGCTTGTTAGCAAGAAGGTTCTGGGAAAGTCCTGGGTTGGATTCCACCTCCAGGCCTTTTTGTGTGGAGTTTGCATGTTCTCCCCATGTCTGCAAAAGTGTCCTCCAGGTGCTCCGGTTTCCCCCGACCACTAAAAACATGTTCAATAAGTATGAATGCAATGAGTGAATGGATGGTCTTGGTTAGAGGCTTTGATGCACCAGTGTTCGGCGTCTCACAAAATATCAACGATTGTAAAGTGCTTTGGGTGACCTTGGTTTGTAAAATATACTATATAAACCCTATATAAACCCCCTATATACTAACCCTAACCCTACTTACAAATGTAGGGTTACAAACGTGCCTCTTCCATCTATAAAGCTCCTATCTCAATTCTGTAAGAGTATGATGTACCACTGTGATATCACGATATATATATATTATATATTCGTTTATTCTTCGGCCATCAGCAGAAAATAAGAAAACATTTGACATTCACAAATTATAAATTATATACTGACCGAAAGGGTTAGGCTGAAGTTTAACACTTATTTCGCCTAACCCTATTAACAAATAACAAAATTACATTTCTTACTTATACAAATGTAACAAAATTATATACAATGTAGCGGATCCACAGAGCTTACAATGAAAATTGTATTTGCAAATACTGTAAGAAAATAAATAGTTTGTACTAATTCAAAGAAATATTCCTTGTAATCACATTATATACATAAACACATAGTATGACATATATATATAGATATATATCTATATATATATATATATATATTTTTTATTATTATTATTTATTTATTTTAATTTTCTTCCTTTTATGTATATAATATATATATATCTATACATGGATTTAAATACACATACACACATTCATACATATACATATATATATACATACACACACATACAAACATACACCTATACCTGTACCTGCATACACACAGGTTATTATTATTATTATTCTAGTGATTTATACTTTTCTTCAACAATAGCCTTAAAGCGCTTTTTAAATGTGTGAATTGAGGTGGAACATTTGAGTGGCTCATCCAGGCCATTCCAAAGATGAACCCCCCTGACAGAGATGCATCTACTTTTTAAACTGGTTCTCACAATTGGTTTCTTAAAGACATACACACCTCTTAATTCATAAGGACTCTCTCTAGGTTTGAACCTCTCCTGTATGCGCTGAGGGAGCAGGTGGTTATGGGCTTTGTACATGAAAATCGCAGTGTTTAGGTCAACAAGGTCATGAAATTTTAATGTTTTTAATTTGATGAAGAGGGCGTTTGTAGGAGCATAAAAATCTGCATAATTAACTATTCTGACAGCCTTCTTTTGGAGCAAAACAACTGATTGGACGTTGGATTTGAAATTGTTTCCCCATATTTCGACACAATAATTGAGATATGGAAGTATGAAAGAGTTGTACAACATTTTAAGTGCATTTTGGTTTACAGAGTATTTTACTTTGTGCAACATTGCTATAATTTTTGACAACTTTGTTTTCATTACATTTATGTGTAGCTTCCAATTAATTTTCTCATCAATATGAATTCCTAAAAACTTTGTTGTGTGTACTCTTTCTATTTCCCTATCGCCAATTTTTATGTGACATTGAGTGTTGATTTTCTTATTTCCAAAAATCATATACTTAGTTTTATTCAAATTGATTGACAGCTTATTATCATCAAACCATTCTTTTAGTTGGGAAAGTTCCGACTCTACAGTTTCTAAGAGCTGTCCAAGATCTTGCCCAGAACAGTACAAGCTCGTATCATCAGCAAACATAATGCAGTTTAGTTTTTTTAAAACTTCGCAGATATCATTTATATACATTATAAACAGTTTGGGTCCCAGTACAGAGCCTTGAGGAACTCCATGAGTTATGTTCATTTTATCAGAATTTATGTTGTTTATATGGACGTACTGTTCTCTGCCACCAAGATAACTTCTCAACCAATCATGTGCAACACCTCTGACACCATATCTCTCCATTTTCTTTAAAAGTAATGTGTGGTCTATGGTATCAAAGGCCTTGCTAAGGTCAATGAAAACACCAACCGTAAATTGCTCTTTATCAATTGCGGTTGTTTTGTTGTGACGATCTTATCACATATTTCTGTCTTTTAAAACAAAAGTAATGATCATAACTTAGTTTTGATATTTTTTTAGATGAAATGACGTGCTTTGGATTTTGTGTTTGTGTTTGCAGCAAGTTTCAATTTTATGAAAAAAAAAAAAAAACATGTAACTCTTCCTTCTGGTGGCAGGTTCTAGACTGTTTACAGATTGACCAGGCTGAACCTTCAGATTAATGAGGCCCGATAGGGAAGGGGTTATGACAATTTTTTGCTCCTACCTTCTCTGGATCCTATTGCCTTTCCTTGAAAAGTAAACCACTCTCAGTAACTCGGTTTTTTGTACATTTCTCCATTGTGAGATCATTAAAATCTTATGTTTTGGGTTTTAAACAATCTGAGTTTTAGCACTCATGTTGCTGAGTGCTCATGTTGCTATGTGCTCACGTTGCTATGTGCTCACGCTGCTATGTGCTCACGTTGCTGTGTGCTCACATTGCTGTGTGCTCATGTTGCTATGTGCTCACGTTGCTATGTGCTCACGCTGCTATGTGCTCACGTTGCTATGTGCTCACGTTGCTATGTGCTCACGTTGCTATGTGCTCACGTTGCTATGTGCTCACGGCATGTGCTCATGTTGCAAATTGATGATTGTTAGTGCTGTAATCTACAGTCAATCCTGAAAAAATCTCAAACACAAAAGGCATAGTTTCTGCATTCTTTATACTTGGTTGCATTCCAAGGAGAAGTGATTTCTAAAACGGAGGCAGAGCAGAAAGTGCTGCTCTCTCTCTGGTTCCAAAATCAAATCTGACTCAGACTTGAATGTATTCTCTCTGTGAGAAGCTCTTGGTGTTGGTTGTTGTGCTATACAATTAAACTTTACCAGGACTTTGTGTTTCTTTGGTACAATTTTATGGCCATAAAACAAAGTAATAAAATAATGATTATTGCTTTAATGCAGGTTTGTCCCTGAATCTCCACGCTGGCTCCTTTCCCAGAACAGAATATCTGAAGCTCTGGAGATCACAGAAAAAATTGCCAAAGAGAATAAACAGGAGCTTTCTGAGAAGACCACAAAGGTACCAGCAACTGCTTAGTTTATATAATCCATAATCCTGAGTTATATTACTGATTATCTGCTGATTTTAGTCTTTCGAGGCGCTCACAGAGGAACCTGGAGACTCTCCTTCTGCATCGCTCCTGGATCTGTTCAGAACTCCCAACATGAGGAAGCACACTTTCATCTTTATGTTCAACTGGTCAGACTAAAACTGTTGTGATGTTAATCTTGGCTTGCAGTCACGTGACGCATCAATTTCCGGTTAATTAAATGGTGGTCAGGCCAACAAAAATGGTTGCTGATATTCGAAGAAAATGCGACTCTTCTTCAGAGTATTTTTGTGCTTTAGAATTCTAATTCTCAAGATCAATACATTGAAAAAGTCAAATTGTGTAAAGGTATAGATAATGCATTATCCAAGAATGATTTGAATTACGAGTTGGAAAAATATCCGGCAGTTCAGTTCCCGGATATCTCCAACTATCTAGTGTTACAATCAATCTTTTGCACTGCTAAACAAATGAAGGCTCGGAAAAGCATGGATGCCCACAACTTTTTTGTCTGTGGGTGGGTTAAGGAAGTCAGAGTTAAGGTCCTGAAGGACAAATCCTGCATCGTAAAATCACAGTTCATACCACTGAAAAGATCTGAATATAAATGAAGGCCAATGTTATTTACTAACGTTTAACATAATGATCGCCAAAAACTGCTTCCTTCGAAGTCAAAGAAATGTTAGCGAGCCACTTTTCCCTGCATCTTTTCGGAAAGACCTTAGTGCGAGGCCCTTTATTAATCTCTTCAGAAGGAACCCTAAAGTATCCTTTATTAGTTTTGCGATTTGATTGGGTAGAACAACCTAAAACAACACACACAAAAAGCATATTAAAGTGACAATTGGACATTCACTTAACACACTGCTCTAGTGAACAACTAGCTCGACTGACCACCACTTTGTGATACGCATAAATAATGAGGCGGACGTGACTTCAATTGCAAGTAATAAATTGTTTTCAGAGTCTGTAGTGATTTCAATCCTTGGTGTCCTCCTCCAGGTTCTGCAGTGCGCTGGTGTACCAGGGCCTGATCATGAGGGTGGGCATCACAGAGGGGAACGTGTACATCGACTTCCTGATCTCGGGTCTGGTGGAGTTCCCCGCCGCCTTCCTCATCCTCTTCACCATCGAAAGGATCGGTCGACGTCTTCCCTTTGCCACGGCCAACTTTGTGGCGGGAGCGTCTTGTTTCATTGCGGCTTGTATTCCGGAAAGTGAGTTCTATGTGTGCGAACAGGCAGAGAGAGAGAGAAGAGAGGGCGCGCAGGGAGAGCAGAGAGTGAACTAAGAGAGAGAAAGCAGAGAGAGAGCAGAGAGAATAGAGAGAGGAAGACCTGAGAGAGTAGAGAGAGAGAGCAGAGGGAGAGAGCAGAGAGAGAGAGCAGAGAGGGTGCTGAGAGAGAGCAGAGAGAGAGCAGAGGGAGAGAGCAGAGAGAGAGCAGAGAGGGCGCTGAGAGAGAGCAGAGAGAGAGCAGAGGGAGAGAGCAGAGAGGGCGCTGAGAGAGAGCAGAGAGGGCGCTGAGAGAGAGCAGAGAGAGAGCAGAGGGAGAGAGCAGAGAGAGAGCAGAGAGAGAGCAGAGAGGGCGCTGAGAGAGAGCAGAGAGAGAGCAGAGGGAGAGAGCAGAGAGAGAGCAGAGAGGGCGCTGAGAGAGAGCAGAGGGAGAGAGCAGAGAGAGAGAGCAGAGAGAGAGCAGAGAGAGAGCAGAGGGAGAGAGCAGAGAGAGAGAGCAGAGAGGGCGCTGAGAGAGAGCAGAGGGAGAGAGCAGAGAGAGAGCAGAGAGGGCGCTGAGAGAGAGCAGAGAGAGAGCAGAGAGGGAGCTGAGAGAGAGCAGAGAGAGAGCAGATAGAGAGCAGAGAGGGAGTAGAAAGATGGCAGAGAGAGCAGAGGGAGAGCAGAGAGAGAATAGAGAGAGAGCAGATAGAGAGCAGAGAGAGAGTAAAGAGAGAGCAGAGAGAGAGAGCAGATAGAGAGAGAGCAGAGAGGGCGCTGAGAGAGAGCAGAGGGAGAGAGCAGAGAGAGAGCAGAGAGGGCGCTGAGAGAGAGCAGAGAGAGAGCAGAGAGGGAGTAGAAAGATGGCAGAGAGAGCAGAGAGAAGAGAATAGAGAGAGAGCAGATAGAGAGCAACAGAGAGAGAGTAAAGAGAGAGCAGAGAGAGAGTAGAGAGAGAGCAGAGGGAGAGAACAGAGAGGGCGCTGAGAGAGAACAGAGAGAGAGCAGAGAGGGAGCAGAGAGAGAGCAGAGGGATAGAGAGCAGAGATAGAGAGCAGAGGGAGCAGAGAGAGCGTAGAGAGAGGCAAGGTCACTTCAACATGTTATTTTGTTCTTGAAAAAGATCTTTTCATGTTTTGCATATCATTTACAATCACAGATGATCGGTTGTTCTTTTTTCCCCATGTTGTTGTTGTTGTTGTTGCAGGTATGTACACTTTAAAAACAGCAGTGGTCTGTTTGGGGCGCCTCGGTATCACTATGGCCTTTGAAATCGTGGTCTTTGTCAACTCTGAGCTCTACCCCACATTTGTGAGGTGAGCTGTGGGGCTGCACTCGTGTGTGGAACAAAGTTTATGTGTTATTATTCTTATTCGACAGTTCAATTCAACAGCAGTCGTCTCAGAGGCGTTTCTTTATCAGAGGACTATACAAAGTTGTTGATTCCTCAACAACAAATCAACACAGAGAATGAAGTCATAACAAAGACATAGAAGCCATTGGTCTTTTTTCATTTATTTATTTATTTACTTCCCCATGTGAAGCGTCTTTGAGTGTCCAAAAAAGCGCTATACAAGTTTGATGTCTTATTATTATTGAATGTTAATGATTTCCAAAAATGTCCTTAAATGTCCGCATACCATTTCAAATCAAATTTTTTTAGTGCTCAAAAGTATCACCCCAAATGTGCCTCATCATCATTTACTGCATTGGTTAGTAAAGAATGTATCATTGCATTTCCTGAGTTTGAACTGTTTGATTTTCTGATCTGTGACGAATCAACAACTTTGTGCAGTCCTCCGAGACGACTACATGTGGCGATTTAGGGCTATACATAGAAACGTTTAATTGAATTGAATTGGATGCATTGATTGTAAAAACTAACAGATGTAAAAGGTTATGGCTGCATTTTAAAGTCAATATTTCACACAAAATGATAAATAAGCAGGGCAGGGTCTGGTTAGTACTGTGATGGGAGACCTCTGAGAACACCAGGTGCCACAGTGGGGCGGCTGCGGCTGTAAAGTGCCAAATTATCGTTGTGTCATTATGCAAGACACAAGACAATTGCCCAGAATTAGTCTGGTTTGTGGTTGGTGGTGGTTGGAGGGGCCGATGGTACTTCTGTTGGTTTGCCCCAGGGCAGCTGTAGCTACAGTAGTAGTTTATCACAACCGTGTATGGAATGTGTATTTGAGTGTCTATAAAAGCGCTATGTAAAATGTTTGTATTATTATGAAACAAACCCAGGTCTGCGTTACATTCAGGTGCTATACTTTATGAAGTTGCTGATAATACGATATTCCTCCTTCAGAAACCTGGGCGTGTCCGTCTGCTCCTCTCTCTGTGACGTGGGCGGGATCTTGTCTCCGTTCATCCTCTACAGACTGGCGGCGGTGTGGGTGGAACTGCCGCTCATCATCTTTGGTCAGTTGAGTTTCTGTATAGAAATGAACCTTTTTTCTCAGAGTTTGACCAATAGTTGTTTATTAATGTGTGACGCAGGAGCCATAGCGGTGGTGGCGGGGGCGCTGGTCCTGCTTCTACCTGAGACTAGAGGCGTTCCTTTACCAGAAACTATTGATGACATAGAATTCCCCAATAAGTATGTCGTTTTAACTTTTTTACTCAGAAAAACACTGATCAATGGATTTATTAATTATTATTTCATTCTTATTTTCATCCATTTAGAAAACAGAACCCTGAAATGGAAAAACTAAACCACAATGCAGCAAACTCGGATGTGGTTGTTTGATGTTTATATTGTTTTGTTCAGGACTTTGAGTGGCCTTGTGTCTGATGAACTGTGCTATACAAATAAACTTGCCTGAAACCAAAACAGTATTATATTATATACTACAGTCTTCACCGTGTTTTGTTTTTGGCAGTAAATTTGAAAGAATTCGCTGAATAAAGTGTGAAATATAATTGTGTGGCACTGAAATGGCTCTGGGTGACTTAAAGGTAAAGGGCAAATTGTAAGTCTTTTTCAAATATTCTTACATATATATATATATATATATATATATATATATATATATATATATATATATATATATATATATATATATAGGCGCTTCATTTTGTATAGGCGCTATATAGGCGCTTTGTGTTGCCCTGTGCAGGAAAAGCGCCCTATAAATAAAGATTGATTGATATATATATATATATATATATATATATATATATATATATATCATATATATATATATATATATATATATATATATATATATATATATATATATATATATATATATATATCTAGTGTTTTAACTAATGGACCAAAAATAGTGCTCTACTGAAGCTATCCAAAATGGCTGCGAGTGGTCCCGCCCACAAGACAACATCTTGACGCATCTGCGCATGCGTCAGCCGGCGCAAGCCCCATTCATTTGAACGAGAGACTTAAAAAATTCACAGCAAGTAAACTAGAGTGGTCCAAAAAAATTTACCCCCCTCAGCATTGACACATGTGGAACAGAGCTTTGGGCCAAGAGCCAACTTTTGGACCATCCTGTAAAGACGTTTTCGAGAGGACTGCCAATGCTGTATGTTAGCATTGGCTAATTCTTATCCCGGGTCCACCCTCATCGGCATGTCAGCGCACATCATTTTGGCCACTTTTGAGCCGGGACCCGCCCCCACTGGTTACGGCACGGTTCAGTTCGCGTGCTTTTCCATCAAAAATGCCTCCTAGTATCTCCTCAGCGTTGCCAGACCACGTCATTTACGCGCGACGCGAAACTAGGAACATTGGTGCGGTGCGTGGATCATGGATCTATAATAGGCATGGATTTATTATAATAATCGAGTGGTTGTTGAAAATGCTTTTGACAGTGTTGACTCAGGAATGACTCGGACACAGAACATGTGAAGTCAATGGTGCTGACCTGCTCTGCACAATCTGTGAGAACCACGGAGAGACCTGTGACTACATACTGTACCTGTAGCAACAGCAGCCTGTGTAGCAGTGGTGCAGAGGAGGAGGGCTATCCGATGCGTCGCTTTTCATATGCCTAAACATTTATTTTGACCAAAAATAAAACCTTTTTGTATTCATCCCAAATGTCTCCATCCTTGTTCATAAATTTACCAATGTTATACGGATTTAATGACAAATATAATGTATGTAGTAAAAGTACATAGGTATATGGTAGGAAATCGTAATTTTTGAACCCCTTTTCTGCACGTGTACAGACAAAATGAATGAAACAAAGTCTTGATACAATCACAGATTTATTAAAAACAAAAGTAAAGAGCAAAACCAACGGTTTACAAAGTCCAAAGTACGTATGTCTGAGACCAGGTCCAGATGAGGAGAATGTTCTCCGGTCACTCATTGCTCGTTGGTAATCTCCTCACTTATGTGATGGGATTCTCAAACAAATACACACGACAACTGTGTACAACAGACAATCAAACATGTACACAGTAAATACATTTCAGTGAGAGCTTTGGGCCAACGGGATACATAGCAGCTATTTCCAGGATTACCACTGACTAGTCACATATCCAGAGCTGGGTGATCTCCCTGAAACCTCATGAGACCTCCATGTTGAGCCTCGAGCTGCCTTTGAATTCTTTCTTTGGCCTGAAGAGAGTAACGTGTGGACCTCATCCACCGACCAGGACGCTGAATTTTGGGGCTTTCTGTGCGATTCCATTTCTCTGGAGTGAGGAGGACGTAATGTAGCCGAAACAGAGCCAAGCAGAGCAGCCGGTTTAAAAGATGGCGGTTGAGTTGTTTTTCCCAAAGGGTCAGATGTCGCTTCCAGTGACGACACTCGTTGACCAATCAGTGTAAGGCAGTCGGCCAACGTCACGTCATGGTACCGGTACTACGGAGATGGACCCACGGCTGAGGCGGTACGGAAAAGTACACAAATCCCAGATACCATACACCAGTGGAAACGCAAAATAACCGCGCCGAAGCGTACTGTATTGTACCGTACTGATACTGTGGAAAAGCGGCATTAGACTAACTTTGGTTCAACGCTAAATCTAAAGGCTGTCTTTAAAAGATTAGGTCGCCGTTTCTCTTGTTTTTTTGGGCAGTAGTTGACTATAGATCTGATAGGAATCAGACTCAAGCAAATTGGGATCTTTGTACGACAAAGCCTCCTGGCTGGTTTATTCACAAAATGGTCGTTAATTTTCAGGCAGAACAAAAGACACAGATACATTATATATGGAAATCTACGTCATCATAGAAAAGGCCAAACCTTCGGCACAAATAGCCTAAACAACGAAAGTCTCTGTGGTCCTTGAGACCTCCACAAGGCCAGGTTATTAATACTATTTTGTCTTGCATTTGTCCACCTGTGCAGTACATAGGTCACTGTTTACCACACCGGTGTGGTAAACAGTGACCTATGTACTGCACCGGCAGCTACGGCTTGTGTACATGGGTTCCCCCCAGTGATCCACCGCTGTAGAAAATGCGCCGCATCTTTCAGCTCTATGAACGAGCAGCCCGCATTCGGGGAAAAGATGGTGCGCATTTTGTTGACAACTTAACGGTAACAGCGGAACATCTTCGGAGTCACCGTTTCTTAAAAAAAAAATATAAAAAAAAAAAAAAAAAAAAAAAATCAACAGAAAGCGCGCTGGGGTCTGGTGACAGGTTTTTGTGATAAAACCTTATAGAGATGCCACCCAAGCACGTAGCACCAGCCCCCTACCGATTCCTTCCTGCAGGTGGTGATCCGCAGGAGAATGGCCCCTCTATGGCATAGCTGCTATTGTGACCAATGTTTACATATATAGGGGTACACAATTTTAGTCCCGATAGTGCAATTTCCAACAATTTTAACAGTTACTGTAAAAAGGAGTGCGACTAATTTCACTGGATTTCATGACCCTCTCGCATATTTGTCCTCTACCTCTGTGCCAAAGACCAGGAACGTTTACTGTGGACATTTTGAGAATATTGATTAAAGTACCCAATTCCGTCTAAAATACTCAAAAATGGTCCACTGTCATCATGGACAGAATTTCTAGTTGCAGCAGGGCCGGAGGGTCCGTTTCAGAGACCACAGAGTTCATCAGTGCTGTTTGCCGAAGATGTTGTCCTGTTGGCTCCAAGGAAACCAAGACCTGCAACATGCACTGTGACGGTTGCAGCCGAGTGTGAAGCGCTGGGATGAGAATCAAGCACTCCAAAATCCGAGTCCATGATGCCTGATCGAAAAAGGTGCCTTGCCCTCTCCAGGTGGTTATAAGTAAGTAATAATGTTTATTATTTAGCGCATTTTACAGACCAAGGTCACCCCAAAGCGCTTTACATGTCGAGAGTTCAGATATTGTCCAATCATATCACACACGGTGATGACTGATGCGAGTCCCATACACACTGGTTCATCAGCCCCCAATCAACACCATCCATTCACTCCTCTTCATTTTACATTATACCTTTTGTGCATGCTTGAAGTGGTAGGGGAAACCGGACACCCGGAGGAAACTATGCAGACACGGGAGAACATGCAAACTACTCCACTCCAAAGGCCCAGTTCTGACTCGGGATTCAAAAACCCAGGGACCTTCTGGTGGAGAAAGCGTGAATGCAATCCACTCAGCCAACGTTCCCCATAGTGGAGAGGACCTTCCTCAAATTGAGGAGTTTTAAAAAAAAAAAAAACAAGTTCCTGGGGTCTTGTTTCACGATTGAGGGAAGGATGGACGTGAGATTGACAGGTGGATTGGTGCAGCGTGCGCAGTGATGCGGCATCATTTGCTTTACAGTCCTTCTCTCCCTCCATCACCTCTGTCATGAGCTTTGGGTAATGACCGAAAGAACGATATTGCAGACTTTCTCCCGCGATTCGATTATCGATATGGCATTTGCCAAGTATCAATATCGATTTTTAACTTTTTTTTTTTTTTTTATTGGTATCAATACTTTAATAGATGGTACATACGCCATCTCCCAATCCAATTTATCATGAAAAAGAGTATTTTTTATTTTATTTATGCCATATTGGCATGATAGAATATTTCTGTATCAATAATCGTCATATCGGATAAAATCGTTATCTAATATCGTTATCGTGAGCTTTGTAAACGTGATCGTATCGTATCGTGAGGTACCCTTAGGTTCCCACCCCTATTGCAGATAACAAGCGGTGGAAAAGAGTGGCTGGCGCTCCCTAGGTGGCTTGCACACCGGACTCAACTTCGACTTCAAAAGCGTCAGTATGCATGAACAAATTGATGCTGAATACAAAAGAGCTTAAAAGATGAGAGCATTACGCGCGTCACTTGAAGCATTTAACGCGCAAATGCCCTAGTCCTGGGCGGTGACCATGCGATTACTTCTGAAAGGTGAAACTTCCGTACGCAGCTCCTGTAGTAAATGGTTTGAAACCAGCAAACCTGCAACCTCCATCAAGTCTGTGGTTGAACCCAGAACACTTTTTGTAGAAACCCTACGACAACGTTGTTTGGCAAATAAAGGCTCTCTGCTCTCTGAAATCCTCGGTCGCAGGACTACCGCAACAAGAAGCTCCTCCCCCCGGCGTCAGGCACGTCAAGCGTGTCAGGAGCTTCAGCACCAAGGGTCGTTCACACCGACCCCAGCTTCGTAACATAGCCGTCAAAAGAGTTTTTGAAGCTTTTGGTCTGAAGCACCTTTATAGATAGGTGAGGGCTCACAGTACAGTGCCGCCGCTTCTGCACGTCAAGAGGAACCAGCTGATGTGGTCGGGCATCTGTTCCTCCTGGACTGCCTCCTGGGGAGAGTTCTGGGGCACTTCC